TGTGTCACATCATATTTATACCCCAGGGAAAACAGGAAGTCATGAATTACTAATTAAAAGTTCCTAGATTCCCTGACCAACTTTAGCAACTACAGAAAAATATATTTAAAGGAATTCAATTACATATTTCAGTGGAATTGTTAGGGGTGTCAGTAATTGTGAGACACATGATTTAACGTTTTTTATTTTCTAAATGTGGGATTTTATTTTTAGCACCAAAGTAATGTACTTAAATAAAAGGTTGGATTTTTGTTTTTTTTTGCATTTGGGTTCTATGTTCTTTTGAAGAAAAGATAATTTTTAAAAGTCCTCAACCACATCTTAAACACCTAATTAATATATTTAAATAAAAGGTTATATTTTTGTCTTTTTTGCATTTGGGTTCTATGTTGTTTAAAAAAAAAAGGAGAATTTTTAGAAGTCCTCAACCACATCTAAAACAGGGGTGCCAATAATTGTGGAAGGCACAGTATAGGTACATATACTGAACAAATGATTAATAAAAGGAGAGACAAAGGTCCTCTGAGGCAGAAAAGGGTTTGGTATTTCGACATAGGGAGGTCATGTGGGTACACCTTTAATTTAATCCAGTTTTTTTCCTCTTTACCCACCAGGTGATCGAACAAGGTCTCCAGAAGGTTCTGCTTTTAGAGGACGACGTTAGGTTTGAGCCGCGGTTTAAGCGAAGGCTGCAGGCCATTATGGACGACATCGAGCGGGTCCAGCTGGACTGGGACCTCATGTAAGACACTTTTAGAGAACCTGGAGGGGTTTCTGCATTTGAGTGCTTTATTTAGCATTAGGGTTGTCAAAAGTATCGAAACTCAGGAAAGTGTTGATACTAAAACGTTGTATCCGGATACGATACTCAATTATTTTGTTATTTACGTTGTTTATGGTCATTAACATGACGTTAGCTTGAATTGCTAGCTGCGGCTAACGACTAATAATAACACGCCAACATTAATCAAGTCTGCAGGAAGTCAAGGATGGATATCCAACTCCCCCACATCCAAGTCGGCCATTTAATTAGGTCACCAATAGGAAGATCCCAGGCAAGAAAATCCTAATTGCTTCATGGCTATATAGACATTCATTTAAAAATAGT